GTGTATGCTATTTAAAGTCACTTTTCAGTGAGTGAACTGGGAAATTATTTTGTTATAGTCAATATACCGTATCTGTGTTTCCTGACTGTGGAATCAGACTCAGTGGTTGGACTAATTGCCGTTCAGGGGAAGGGGCCTCTGTTGCAGCCTAGGGGCTTTCTTGTTAGACAGCAGGTTCTGCACCCCTGGAGCTGCCGAGTCATGAGTCACGGCCTGAATGGCTGACAAGCAGGGATGTGGTTGTACAGATTGAAGCATTGTACAGCTGTTGGTGAGATCACCTTTAAGGTACCTTTTCATCTTGAGACCCCCTAGGGTCTCATCTTCCTTTTCTAGAAAGTCAGTGCTGGAGCCTAGCCAGCCTTACAGCCAGCTAATATGTTTAACCCACTAAGCAGGCAAGTGTGAACAGCTCTTATTCCCTTCCTTCTTCACATTTAGATATTGGGAGAGCAGTATGTCCTGTTAACCGGACAACTGACCATCTGTGACCATTTTTAGTGAGAGCATCTGGTGGTGGCTGCCTGTTTAACAGAGAGTGATGTGTCAGGGGGCAGTAGGTTAAGAGAATCCTATCTGTGTCTTGCATGGTGAATACTTGGTTTCACTGAGCTTCTGCACATTAAAGATACTCTGACTGGAACTAGATTACTAAGTGGGCTTGGAAATGAAATTTAAATGCTTCTGTTTGCTGATTCAATGTCAATTTGAGTAACAAACTGTTATCTTGAAATTTCATTTTCATACTAATCCCCTTTCTGATGCCCTTACGCCCACATTCTTTTGTTTTCACTTCTGGTAATTAAATTTTCAGTTTAAAAAGTATGTTATTGGGATACATTCTCCTTGGTAATACATTCTCTTTCTTTTGTTTCTGAAGGAAAGAAAAAGACAGATTAATCTACATATTTCAATTCATTTAATAAGTATTTTCAAATATTTTTCTGAGCAAGGCATTGTAGTTCTACATAAAAAGATGTAACAGACACAACCTCTGCTTAAAACAAGGATGATTAAGCCAAAAGATATTTAATTGACTGACATTTCCAACTCCCCCCAAATTTCTAATTAACTAAATCTAATTGTATTTACTAATGAAAGTTGTTTTATAGTCCTTAACTCTAAAACCTCAAAGTTCAGTTCCTTCAGATGTAGCTTTATTTTTTAAAGTAACTAAAAATATTCTTTTGTCTTTAATAATATAATATATTGGCAGAGCAGTGTAAATATTTTTATGTTGCTAGCGTGATTATAATGACTTTAAAATATAGAAATTCTTTTTAATTAGAATTCTTCAATTAGAATTGGCTTACTTTCGGAAGGCTTAGAAAAAACACATTAACTTGTGGTTTAATATGTGTGATTTGTTCTAAATTGTTTGCTTCAAGGTGGTTTTGCATCTTTGTAGTCATTAATTTCCCTTAGTTTTTTTCTTAGTACTTCAATGTTTTTAGCTCAATGATAAGTAGAATTTTAAAATGTTATATTTATTGCATAGTAAACTAAAGCAAAATTAAAACACACTTGTGTTCGCTTATAATTGACTGATTTAAATAATCTGTTCCTCTTTTTATCTCTTTTTTTTTTTTTT